CGGGCCGCCCCGGAACCTGAGCGCGATCACTGAAAGCGAAAAGGGTGGAGGAGAGGGAGGAGGAGGGGAAGGGAGGCAGGAGAGGGAGGGGGGGAGGGAGGCAGGCAGGGAGGGGAGGGGGGAGGGGAGAGGAGGATCTGGAGGAGGAGGAGGAGGAGGAGGAGGAGGAGGCGGCGGCGGCGGAGGAGGCGGAGGCTGGTGCCGTACATACGCCAGCCCACGGCCGTTTCTTCTTCTCTCTTGTGGTGTGAGTTGTCACCACGTATCCCTCAGAGGCTCGATCCGAGCCCTCCTGGCACCGACGTACCCGTCGCGACAGAGCGGCGACCAGAGCATTCGTTCGGTTAGGACCGGCAGCAGACCTCCGTCGCAACCACCACAGTGCTCGGCAGGGACAGTCGATGACCAGCAATGTCACCGGCACGACGGAGTACATCAAGTGTTCGGTCTGCGGTTGCTCCGAGAACTTGTCGTGATGGAGATGGTGCGAGCACAGCCTGGGGCCGCTTCCGACGCATTCCACCAGCAGGGAAACTGGTGTTGCTCGCCGAGGCAGGTCGCCTGCTCCTAGTTCGCAGTGGTGGCCCTGGCGTCAGAGCTGCCACCACAGGAGATCCAGCGTGGGCAGCGCCAGGAGAAGGCCCCCCTAGCGTCACCTTCAAGGACGGCACAAGGCCAGGTGATGAGCGGTCTGAGGGCGGAGAGCCCGAAGCCCCAACGGAGGAGCAGCGACGCACGGCCCTCGTCTCCCTGCCGTGAGGATCAGGAGACACGCGTGCAGTTAATAGGTACAAGCAGCAGCTCGAGGATGTCAAAAGAAAGCAACGAGAGGCCAACAGGTCAGTCGCGCGGGAAAATCCAAGGGTACTACGGGCGGAGGTTGCTCTACGAAAAGCTCCCGAGAGGTGCGAGAGGCTCGAGCAGCAGCACGCGGAAGCACAGGCAGTTGTGGAATCATGTTCGGCGGAAGTGGACGTTGCGAGGGCCATATTCCAGTCGTCGGTCAAACAGTTGGCACACACACGCGCTGTTGAAGGTGATGGCTCGTCGGCTGGCTCTGCTGGAGGAAGCCAATCGTTGACTTTGTGGCAGGAGCTCATCCTGGATGATGGCGGATTGTTCGGCTTGGGTGCGCTGGACGACGTCGTCACGAAAGCTGACACGATTGAGTGTTAACGAAAGAAAGAAGCCCCAAAACACCAGCTCGCGGAGGCCGCTAAGGTGTGTTCCGGAGAGCTCAAGGAGAAGGCGTCATCCATCAAGGAGGAGCAGGCCAAGTTGAAAGAGAGTGGCTCAAGTCGAAGCGCTCACGCACTGGCGAACCGGCTAGTTACGCAGTTGTTGCGGCATCGGCAGCCTCTAACCCCAGCGTGCCAGCAGCAGCACAGGAAGCCGCCAACACAGAGACTGGTCCTACAGCCCCACAGCAAGCCAGCCAGCCAGCAGCCTCCCCCAGGATCTGGAGGGGTCGAAGCTGGAGCAAACCTACCGCCGACCCAGGCCAAACCCAAGAAGAAGTCATCGATAGTGGCTGACGCCAAGGTCAAGGACTCAATGGGAGTGAAAGTACGGCCGCGCCACCGCCGAGCGGGTGACAGAAGGAGGAATGGCTGGGCGTGCGACGTCATAGCGTCAGATCCGTTTTCCCCACATCCATAGTGGGGTTCTTGTTTTCTCTGCCCCCCCCGTCCCCGCGCAGACCCTCACCCCCCGCCCCTCTCCGCCTCTCGTCACCATCCCACCACCACCGTCATCACCACCAGTATCATCATCGCCATCATCATCACCAAAGTTCACTCACTCACTCGTTCATTCACTCAGTCACTCACGCATTCACCCGCCACCACACCATGATCATCACCATCATCACGAGCACCACCATCATTTCCCCACACGCACTCACGCATTCACTCACACCCTTACACACACTCACCCATTCGTTCATCACCACCATTCGACCGCATCATCATCACTCATCACCGCCATCACTCCATCATCATCATTCTCATAATCCCATCATGATCATCGGCCATCATCATCAATCACACCCGTACTCACTCATTCACCCACTCACACACACACAATCACATCGAGGAAGTCTCGAGGGGGAGCCTCGCCTGAGAATGAATTCTAGACGCTTCGCGTATCCCCACCAGCCCGTCCAGAAACGACGCCCAGGCGAATAGAGGGTCGTCCTGAGGGGCGTTTCGGCGTGTTGGGTGCCTCGGGGGGGCCTCTGTGGGCCGTTCGGGATCCTCTTTGGGGCCTCCTGGGGGCCTCTTGGGGCCTCTTGGGGCCATCTTGGGGCCTTTGGGGGCCTCCTGGGCGCTTCTTGGGGCCTCCTGGGCGCTTCTTGGGTGCCTCTGGGGGGTCTCTTGGGGCCTCTTGGGGGTCTCTTGGGGGCCTCCTGGGGGCCTCTTGGGGGGCCTCGGAGCCATCTTGGAGGAGATCGATCAACGAAGGGGGGTTCCCTAATTACAGTCCCCCCCTCAGGAGCCACGATCCTCGTGAGGGGTGTCGAATTTTAGCCCTCCCAGGGGTCGATCTTGGGCGCTCCAACGCGCCGCGGAACCCCCTGTCCAGGTCAGTGGGGAGGGGGTAGGGGGAGGGGTAAACCCCTCCCCGAAGGGGAAGAGGGAGGGGTGGAAGAGGAAACCCGTTAAACCACCGACGCCCAGAGGGTTGGTGGGATTATAAGGAAGCCTCAGGCGGGCGCCCCTTCCCTATGGGGCCCACATTTCACATGATAGTATTTATCCCAGCTGGCCATCCTTAAATTTGTCCCTGTCTTCAGGATTCGGCTCTTCAGGAGAAAGTATGGAGGAAATCTCAGGCGGGAGTCTCGTCGGTGAGTGACTTGGGAGGAAGTCTCAGGCGGGAGCCCCCTTCCTTATGGAGCCCGCATTCCATGTTATTAATCCCAGCGGGCCATCCTCAAACTGGACTTCCAGGATTTTCAAGCCTAAATGTGGGGGAAGTCTCAGGCGGGGGCTCCGGCGAGTGAATTACGGGAAGTCTCTGGCGGGAACCCCCCCCCAGAGCCAGAAGGAAGTCTCAAGCTAGAGCCCCGTCGGTGGGCGACTCGCGAGGAAGTCTCGGGCGGGCCAGCGGGCCATCCTCAAACATGTCATTGTCGCCACGCCTGGCTTCACCAGGCCTGAATATGGAGGACGTCTCAAGCCAGAGTCTCGGCGATGAGTAAAATGCGAGGAAGTCTCAGGCGGGAGCCCCCTCCTTATTGGGCCCGCAGATCACGTTAGTAATCCGAGCAAGTCATCAGGAGAGTCACCCCAAGGGGGCAAATCGTGAGGATGCCTCGAGCGGGGGCGTCGTTTGTGAGTGAATCGCGAGGAAGTCTCAAGCGGGAGCCCCCTCCCTGTGCCCTGTGGGGCCCTCATTTCATGTTGGCCACTCGACCAGGCCATCGGAACATCCCACAAGTCGTAGCACTTGAGCACCCTAAGGGGGCAAATCGTGAGGATGTCTTGAGCGGGGGTCCCCTCCCTATGGGGCCCGCAGCTCACGTTTGTAGCCCGAGCGGGCCAGTTGAATCCTTGATTTGCCAATCATCGCATTTGAGAACCCCAGAGGGGCAAATCGTGAGGACGTCTCAAGCGGGGGCCGCGTCTGTAAGTGAATGGCGAGGATGTTTCAAGCGGGTCCCCCACTTCAGTGGGCCCGCACCCCACGTCGGCAATCCGAGCGGGTCATTCGAAAATTCCGAACGTATACCAGAGAGCAGCGGCGAGTAGAAGAGAGCGGCAGAGACCAGCAGAGGCCAGCAAGGACCAGCAGAAGACACCAGCAGAGAGCAGTTTAGGCAACAGAAACAAGTAAAGAACAACAGAGACTAGCAGAGACCACCGCAGACCAGCTGAGAGCAGTGAGACCAGCAGACACCAGTAGACCGCACCCGAGAGCAACAGAGAGCACCAGAGACCAGCTGAGAGCAACCGAGAGCAACAGGCAGCAGAAGACAGCAGCAGACAGCAGCAGAGATCAGCAGAGACCAGCAGAAAGCGGAAGAGAGCACCAGAGACCAGCAGAGACCAGCAGACAACAGCAGACAGCAGCAGCCTAACGAGTGGGCCCGCACTTTATGTTGGCAACCCGAGTGGGTAATATACGGGCGCAGCCCGTAATTTGATTTTCGCGAGGTAGACAGACTGAACTGAACCACCGGGCCGTTAGATGGCAGTTTTATTTCCGCGGGTGAGGATATGTCGGTAGCAGTTTTAAGCCAGCGGGTGAGGGTATTTCGGTGGCAGGATATGTCGGTGGCAGTTTTAAGCCAGCGGGTGAGGATATTTCGGTGGCAGTTTTAAGCCAGCGGGTGAGGATATTTCGGTGGCAGTTTTGAGCCAGCCGGTGAGGATATTTCGGTGGCAGTTTTAAGCCAGCGGGTGAGGATATTTCGGTGGCAGTTTTATGCCAGCGGGTGAGGATATTTCGGTGGCAGTTTTACGCCAGCGGGTGAGGAAATTTCGGTGGCAGTTTTAAGCCAGCAGGTGAGGATATTTCGGTGGCAGTTTAATTTCCGCGGGTGAGGATATTCCGGAGGCAGTTTTAAGCCAGCGGGTGAGGATATTTCGGTGGCAGTTTTAAGCCAGCGGGTGAGGATATTTCGGTGGCAGTTTTATGCCAGCGGGTGAGGATAATTCGGTGGCAGTTTTAAGCCAGTAGGTGAGGATATTTCGGTGACAGTTTTAAGCCAGCGGGTGAGGATATTGCGGTGGCAGTTTTAAGCCAGCGGGTGACCATCACCCGCTCGATAACACCTCGATAACACCCGATAACACGTCGGTAACATGTGTTCGAGATGTTATCGAGGTGCTATCGAGTGTGATCGAGCTCGATAACGCTCGAGAGCACCTCGATAACACTCGATGACACCTCGATAGCATGAGGTGTTATCGATGTGTTGTCGAGTGTTATCGAGCGGTGGCAGTTTTAAGCCAGCAGGTGAGGATATTTCGGTGGCAGTTTCATTTCAGCGGGTG